ATCGCAAAAATAAGGAAAAACTATGAATTTGACCTAGATTTTGACCTAGGCATTTTGGTGTCCAAATTTTGAAGCTATGTAGCTTTTGAGGTCCCCTTCTTTTATGGACATTCATTATGTTAAGCTGTGCTCAGTCTATATCTTGTATTTTACACTTCGAAAAAGTCTTTTTTCCCATTGGCTTTACATGGGCACCAAATTTAGCAATTTCAAAACGCTATAGCTTCCGAACCGGAAGTCAGATTGAAATTTGGTTTGCAGATTTGGATTCCTGAGGAAATTTTACACTTATTTCATAACTCATACGTTGAATTCGGAGAACTTTTTCGTTTGACCTACTTTCCGGACGCAATATCTCAAAATCGGTAAAAGTAATCAAAAAATTGATTACTCACAGTCGAATCGTCTTTTTCTCGGCTACACGTTGAAAAAAAAATTTTGAAAAAATATCGAAAAATGACAAAGATAATTGACAAAATGATAATTTGACCTACCTACAAAATGATAATTTGACATACCCTAACTGACCATGTAAGTAGATTTACTCCAAGTCTTCTAGTTACTGAGAAAACGTGACAAGAGAGAATAATAATAACTAGACTTTGGAAATTGAACGAAGTTCAATTTCAGACTCCAGATCTAGACTTTTTTTAGCCGAGTCATCCAGAATAAGCCGAGTCATCCAAAATAAGCTGAGTCATCCAGAAAAAGATGGATGGATGGATGGATGGATGGATGAAAAAGGAAGGAAGGATAGGCTAGAATAGGAAGGAATGATAGGATAGAATAGGAAAGAATGATAGAATAGAATATGAAGAAGGAATAGAATAGGAAGGATAGGAAGGAGAGGATACGAAGGAAAGGTAGATAAGAAGGATACGATAGTTTCACAAAGGAAGGATGGATGCAATTTTCAATATTTTCTTCTCTACTCTTGACTTTCTATCAGGATACCATCAGATCGATTTTTCTCGAAATTTCAAAACGCCATAACTTTCGAATTGGAAGTCGGATCAAAATTTGGTTTGCAGACTCGGATTCCTGAGAAAATTCTACCCTTAATTCATAACTCATATGTTAAATTTGGAGAACTTTTTATTTTGACCTTCTTTTCGGACACCATATCTCAAAAGTGGGTCGAAATACTTTCTGACGGCAAAAGGCTAACACTATTAGCACACTCTTTCGTACCTGTATACAAAATTTTAAAGCAAATCATTTAAACATAGTGTCAGAATCGCAAAAATAAGGAAAAACTATGAATTTGACATACATTTTGACCTAGGGATTTTGGTGTCCAAATTTTGAAGTTAGGTAGCCTTCGAGGTCCCCTTTTTTCATAGGCTTTCATTATTTTAAGCTGTACTTAGTCTATATCTCGAATTTTACACTTCAAAAAAATTTTCCCATTGACATAACATGGGACACCAAATTTAGCGATTTTTGAGCTTTCAAAATGTCATAACTTCCGAACAAGAAGTCGGATCGAAATTTGATTTGCAGATTCGGATGCCTGAGAAAATTCTATACTTAATTCATAACTCAAACGTTAAATTTGGAGAATTTTTTAGTTTGACCTACTTTTGGGACACCATATCTCAAAAGTGGGGCAAAATACTTTCTGACGGCAAAAGGCTAACACTATGAGCACACTCTTGGCTACATGTATACAAAATTTCGAAGAATATAATTAATCTGTAGTGTCAGAATCGCAAAAATAAGGAAAAACTTTGAAATTTGACCTAGATTTTGACCTAGGCATTTTGGTGTCCAAATTTTTATGAAAAGAAGGTTTTGAGGTCCCTTTCTTTTATGGGCTTCCATTATGTTTAGCTGTGCTTAGTCTGAATCTCATATTTTACACTTCAAAAAAATATTTTTTCCCATTGAATTAACATGGGGCACCAAATTTAGCGATTTTTGAATTTTCAAAACGCCATAACTTCTGAACCGGGAGTCAGATCGAAATTTGGTTTTCAGATTCGGAATCCTGAGAAAATCTCCTATAAGATTGATATCCTGGACATTGGATTCGGAGAACTTTTTTTTGGACCTCGTTTTCGGACACTGATATCTCGAAATCGGTTTGAGATACCAAGAAACTAAATCGACCCTAGATTTTCTACTTTTTTATGAGGAACACAATGAAAAAAACCCGGATCAAAAATATTGAAGGACGACCGAGAAAATCGAAAAAAGTGACAAAGTACTGGATTTGACCTAGTTCTTGACCTTTGACCTAGATAAAAATTTGACCCAATTTCCCACCAACTAGATACTAAACCTAAATGAACTGTATTATGGTATTTACTGGATACCTTATAGTTATTGAAAAAACTCAAAAAGAATAATAAGAATAAGAAGAATAACTAGACTTTGGAAATTGAACGAAGTTCAATTTCAGACTCCAGATCTAGACTTTTTTAAGCCCAGTCATCTAAAATAAGCCGAGTCATCCAGAATAAGCTGAGTCATCCAGAATAAGATGGATGGATAAAATTGGAAGGTAGGATAGGATAGGATAGAATGGGAAGGAACGATAGGATAGAATAAGAAAGAAGGATAGGATAGAACAGAATAGGAAGAAAGGATATGATAGGAGAGGATAGGAAGGATAGGAAAGAAAGGATACGAACGAAGGATAGATAGGAAGGATAGGATAAGATAGGATCAGATAGGAAGGATGGATGAATTTTTCAATATTTTCTTCTCTACTCTTGACTTTCTATCAGGATACCATCAGATCGATTTTCCGAAATTTCAAAACGCCATAACTTCTGAACCGGAAGTCGGATCTAAATTTGATTTAAAGATTCGGATTCCTGACAAAATTCTACCCCTTATTCATAACTCATACGTTAAATTTGGCGAATTTTTATTTTGACCTACTTTTTGGACACGCCTTAACTTCGGAACCGGAAGTCGGATCGAAAATTGGTTTGCAGATTCGGATTCCTGACAAAATTCTTCCCCTAATTCATAACTCATACGTTAAATTTGGATTTTTTTTATTTTGACCTACTTTTCGGACACCATATCTCAAAAGTGGGTCAAAATACTTTCTGACGGCAAAAGGCTATCACTATAAGCACACTCTTGGCTACATGTAAACACAATTTCGAAGAATATAATTGAAGTGTAGTGTCAGAATCGCAAAAATAAGGAAAACCTTTGAATTTGACCTAGATTTTGACCTAGGAATTTTGGTGTCCAAATTCTGAAGCTAGATGGCTTTTGAGGTCCCCTTCTTTTGAAGGCTTTCATTAAATTTAGCTGAACTCAGTCTATATTTCGTATTTTTCACTTCAAAAAAATCTTTTTTTCCCATTGACTTAACATGGGCACAAAATTTAGCGATTTTTGAGTTTTCAAAACGCCATAACTTTCGAACTAGAAGTCGGATCGAAATTTGATTTGTAGATTCGGATTCCTGACAAAATTCTACCCCTAATTCATAACTCATACATTGAATTTGGAGCACGTTTTGGTGTGACCTACTTTCTGGACGCCATATCTCAAAATCGGTTTGAGATATCAAAAAACTAAATCGACCCTAGCTTTCCTACTTTTTTATGAGGAACACAATGAAAAAAACCTGGATCGAAAATATTGAAGGACGACTGAGAAAATTGAAAAAAGTGACAAAGTACTGGATTTGACCTAGTTCTTGACCTTTGACCTAGATAAAAATTTGACCCAATTTCCCACCAACTAGATACTTAACCTAAATTAACTGTATAATGGTCTACTGGATACCTTATAGTTATTGAAAAAACGGCTACAGAATAATAAGAAGAAGAAGAATAATAAGAATACTGGCAAAAACAATAGACTCCAGATTGACATCTGGAGTCTAATAATAAGAATACTGGCAAAAACAATAGACTCCAGATTGACATCTGGAGTCTAATAAGAAAACTGGCAAAAGCAATAGACTCCAGATTTTCAATCTGGAGTCTAATAAAGAAAACTGGCAAAAGCAATAGACTCCAGATTTTCATCTGGAGTCTAATAAGAAAACAGGCAAAAGCAATAGACTCCAGATTTTCAATCTGGAGTCTAATAAATGGATTGTATAAGATAATGAAATTTACCTAAAATTATAGACATTCACAAGTTCTTTAAAATTTCTACCCCTGTTTTGACGAAGATGCGCCATAGTTTTTGAGTCACGCAAAATAATAAAAACATGCATCAACTGACATTTTTTAAAATGTTGAAACTTTTTATTGGCTACTTAACATGAAATTTGGTTTTACTATATTCCTTTGAAATATGATATATGTGAGTGTCGCATTTTTATTGCCCACATTGAGTTTACTTACGACATGCTGATGACACAGAACCATGATGTTTAAAGTATCACGTTTAATTCTAAGTGCTGAAGCAAAAATATAGATGTTGTTTATTGGATTTATTTCATTCTCGCGGGCGCGAGTTGGTGGTAATGCAGGGTGTGCCCAAAATGCAACTCACCTAACAATGGTGGCTGCAAACCACTTTAAAGATCGGTTCATCAACCGTAGGACAGGTAACGACTGGGCATCCCAATCCCCAGACCTGACCTCCCCCAAGGTTTTTATAATTAGATGTGTGTGCCAAAAATCCTAGACTACAGATAACATACAAGATAAGAACCGTACCAGCAATGAATGGACACGTGTTGTCAACAACTTCTTACGAAGGGAGTAAATCTGAAGAGAGGTGGTAGCCATTTTTAGCATGTTCTAAAAAATGGCCAGCAAATGGGCAATACGCATGCTCCTGCGAAATTAAGTTGAACCACGTTTCCTTATTTTGTAGTCTTACCCCAATGTTATCAAAATGTTTTGGCCTTTTCTATTTTCTAAAGTCATTTTATTTTGCGTATAAATTAAGCTAGAATAGCGCTTACCAATTTGTTGTTAATAACTATGCTCGATAACACTAATTTGTCTTCCACAGAACTGTTCTGAGTGGTATCGGTATTTTTATATTTTTAAACTAAAATATTTTCACAGCCGAGGAGATCTTCATTGGTAACCTGATCCACTCAATAACCTCAAGCTGGACCACTCGATGTAAGTTCGCAGTCCAAGCAGGAAAAGATGTCAACGCTGACCCAACCATACTTCCTGGCTACGATTTCGTTGTCGATGATTGCTATAACACTAGCGGGGTAAGATAAAGTGTGAACACTCCATCCTAGCTAAAGCTTTCATTTGCGAATGCAACTACCGGGTTCCGGCTACTGGATTAACCTATTTAGTTTCTTAAATTAACCCGCCATTTTGAATTTAAAATAAGGAACAACTCTTCAGTCGAGAAGTGATCAGTGATTGGACATGATGTTTTATGCCACTGTAACGATCAATCATATGAAACCACTCGGTTGAATAATAGCGAACAGATCGTAGGTCATTGTTACTTGCTGCTAAGTAATCGGAATGACACGTTAAATAGGTCAGCGATTGAGTTTGAAGCAAAAGCTTGCAGCTACAGGGATGTACGACGGGTACATGTAATATTTATATTAACGAGTTGTTCATTGACTTGCAATCTATCCGCTAGCCGTTACCCGTTATTTGCATTCGGGAATACAAGCTATAATAATTACAAATATTTTTCTTATATCTTTATGCACAAGACAGTGGAGACGATAACCCCATTTAACGTGTAACACGGAGATTGCCATTTTGCACGTCAATTGACGTAAATCACGCCAATAAGCATAATGTCCATTGTAATTCATAATTTGAAACACCAGGTTGATTAGAATACCCAGTGTTAATATATATACAATCTAAGTAATATGTATTTTATAGTACGTATACTTTGGTAAACATTAATGATATATTAAATCCCAGGGAAGAATTTCATTCCAAAATTGTGGAGAAAATGCCGTTCAATCTTGTGAATTTTCTGTAAATGTTACGAACCAATGAAGTCACCACCGAACTTGCATTCTTGGAAAGTCTAAATCGATCGATGGAACGCTTTTTATTGCATTTTCTTCAAGTATTTTATCTAATCTAGCACTTGTATGTAGGAATTCGCGATCCTATGTGGGAATTTTGCGCTAGAACTAATCAATGTTACCTCTCACGAATCCCAGAAAAACGCCATATTGGAATTACCAACACTCCTTCAATTGTCTAGATATCGTCTTTCCGACAGGTTATACGACGAAATTGGTACTGACCCAATAGTTTTTTAATCTCTGAACACAACGTGAGCCCCAATTCCGAGAAAAGACCGCTGGAAATCACTAAAATGGGGTCTACTTTCCCTCTTCGTTTTTACCGGAAGTGTTTTCCTGACCGCAGCGTGTTGTTGATTTTTTTGTTTTTTTCCTGGCTTGTTTTAGTTTTTAAACCTTCTTTACAATGATCTAATGATTACCTTAAATGAATTATAAACAATTTAAATTCATATCCTCATTAAATCAGAATTTATTCGTTTTCTTCACGTCATTTGTTTACTTCCGGTTTGCTGTTGAATAAATATTTCTTGTAAACATTGACGTAAGCACATCATAGTAGTTGTTAGTTCAAAACGCAACCCGGAAAATAGCAAATGTTTATGATTTTAACTATTACATACGATGCAGATCATGATTTTCCCACTAGTTTCCCAGTTTATTACTGCCTGTTGTCCTGCCGATAATATGTGAAACTTTTACAAGATAATAGTTTGCACGTCAATTGTCGTGCAAAATATTGCACGTCACTTGACGAACATGACGGCAAATGCCGTTATTATCTATTGACATGCGCACTTATGCTTCATAATTTCACGTCAATTGTCGTGCAACATGGTGATTGCCGTACTTCACTTTAAATGGGGTTATCGTCTCCACTGCAAGAGTGCAAGTAAACACGACGAAGAAGGGAAATTATCTCGAATGGACCATGAGGGTACACCTTCACCTGCATGTACATGTTCTCTTAAATCGTGTTTAGAACCTCCATACTCAAAACATCTGTGTCAAGGTCGAGTTCTCCTGTCGTAAATACATGGATGCTGAGGCCCGGGTATACTGTCATTCGTGTTTATATGAATTGAAAAATTATCAAAAAAATATCAAAAGTTTGTATATATTTGTTTCCAGGTCACCATGCTTTTCATTATAATGTTCTTTTTTATTTTAGACTTCCACTCTTACGTCAAGTATCGAGGATATAGATCGTTTTGTGGCGTACTACAATAAGATCAAAGAACAAGCTATTCCCTTTATCATTCATGGTAAAAGCGTGGTACCTGATCTCAGGACTTTTTGCGCCGCTAAAGGATGTATCAGTGTAAGACATTCGGTTTCTATTCCTTTCCACTTGACAATATACATTATTTTTCATGGCTGGAAATTATTTGAGTATTGTATGTTATCTAGAACCATTTTTGGAATAATTTATTCTCGTTTCATTAGTAGTGATTTACAAAATCTGATACATAAACAAACTTCAGCGATATGTCTCAAAGGGGAGATGCTATTTTTTTAATCTTAATTCAGGTTGCAAATTGGGCGGCGTCCGTAGAGACATTAGAAGCCCCGCTTTCGACAGATAGTCTTAATGATGTACTCATAATTGGACGAACAATAGTTAAGATCGTCGAAAGATATGGCTGGAAATATGTTGGATTATTCTACCCAGATCGTGAACATCAAAAAGGAAAGGTAAAAGTCGTTTAGGTGCATAAGGTGAACGCTGGAGTGAAGTAAATATATTGAGGTTCCAAGTGCGGGAAGCATCGACTTCACTTTTAACATATTAAAATCGTATATTTAATATTACAACAAATTGAATGAGAAATTACCAATTTTCAATTCTAATGACTTTAACCTCAGATCAGCTGATACCATGTTACAGAAAGGTTTCGAAAATGATCTCCTAAAAAGAGACAAATTTTCTCCATTCAACAAATCCATTGGCTTATATCCAACTTGCGCTGTGCCCGTTGCCAAGTAATATATTTTCTATTGACTACACAAAGTTCTTCTTTATGTGTTTGACAGCGTTTTAATGCAATTTTAGTGTCACTTCTAAATTCAGTTTCTGAATGATCTTATTCATTTCACTCTAATCGTAAGTCAATCATGTGAAATATTCATTAACCCTAATGTCTCTAGGGGGGTCAGATTGACCTCGATTATATCCATAGTACTTGTTGTGCCTCTGTTATTATTACAACTTGAGCCACAGATAGATGGCAATCTTGGCGTAAAAAAAGGTAATTTGGGGTAGAGGTGCAAAGCTATGATAGTCTGAGTTGATGTCAATTAAAATAAAATTCATAGATATTGATAGTTACCTTTTTTTAATAATGTAGAGAATGCAATGTGATGATTTTTGCCCCTTTTGATAGATTATCGTTTAGTATACTGAATAACCTTTCCAATATGTTTCATTTCAAGAAAATCGAGTCAGTATTGAATAGGTAATGAATTTTTAAAGGTAAAAAACAATTAATCGCCGAGTATCGCATTCTCTTCACGTTGACCTTTGTTGACCTTTTAAAAAACAATACATTTCTGAAGCGGAAATTGAATAGCTTTCCCAACAATACCAACGTAGGCACTGAAATCAGACAAGTAATAAAAATTGCGTATCCCAGTGAACCACTTGATAACATTAGCTTGATTATGACTTGACCATCAGAACCACTACATGTGCAAAAATACCTCATGAATATTGCCAGAAATGACGACAATAATGCGCACTCAATAATGCCACGATGCAGTGGAGGCATCGTTTTTCCGAAAAGAAAATAAATTTTGCTCATGTCCAGGGATTTGGTGAAATTTGTAAAAAAAAAGGACTGTCAAAATTACTGTTTAAAAGTATTAAACAGTGGCTCTGCAGCTAAAGAAGCGTCTTTACAAATTGCTGGTTGACAGTAGTAGAATACGGGTCTATTGGTATATTAATTAGTCGCATTAATATCCACCGATTTATTTCACGAGAATACTAAATTAAAACTCTTATTATCTATTTCAGTTTATTGAACAACTAAAAACTAATCTTGAAGCGAATGGCGTAGAGGTTGATGCATTTGAAACATATGGCGTCGCAGATATTGACTGGGCTGCAATAAAAGTACGAATATTTCTACAACTGTGAGAGATGTAGCCGGAAGGAAATATAAACTATAATAATTGGTTCAAAGTAGTTAAGGATACACCTTGAAAGGGTTCATGAAAGGGTTCATTCTGAGGTTTTCAAAATATTTCAATATGTATATATCTATTGCTTTAAAGAAAGTGATATAATCCGCGAACGTTTTTTAATATTCTCCCACCCAAGTGTTTTAGGATACATCTTTATTTTTTAGCAACGTGATCTGAGGATATTTGTTGCTGATGTCTCCAGATCAGCTCAACCTAAATTCCTCTGTGAGGTATAATACACTTTACATTGTTAAATCTTAAAGAGTAATGCATTTTTATTATTAAGCAAAAAAGAGTAATGCATTTTTATTATTAAGCAAAAAAGAGTAATGCATTTTTATTATTAAGCAAAAAAGAGTAATTACACGTCGCACGAAACAGGGGACAATTAGAGTAACATTATGGCGTCAAAATACAAAAACAATACAATGGGCCGTATAGGGCGCAATCAGCATTATAACGTCAAAAACGACAAGCGTTACATTTTGTCAAGTTTAGTCAACCTAAAAATAAGATGCTTTATTCTTATTCAATCCCGGTGAAATTCACAGAGAATGAAGATCTCGAGGACATTATTTCTAAAATGTTTTTGATTTTTGAAAAACGGTCAGGAAATTCAATTGGGGCGTTAGTAAAAATTGATATGTATGGGATTTGTGGTAAAAAATCGATGCGTTACATTTTTTCAAGTCTCTAAAAGCAACTCTTATTTTCTTATTATTTGAAAAATAAAGAAATCGGTTATTGTTTTGTAAATTTCGCCATGACAATATTATGCAGTTAATTTTTTTTTGAAATCAGACCTAAATTAGAAGGTTAAATAAAGGTAAATTTATTGCTTGTCTCCTTCGCCTTCAAAACCTTACACAATTTTGAAAATCTTAAAAGCGTTCATATAAGACGATTTGAACTGTAGCCGCTAGGCAATTGTGACGTCATAAAAACACATGTTTCAATGAATAAAATGTGAAATTGTAGTAAAATTCTGATCAGTATTTCAAAAGTTATTCCGATTTCAACGAACCGTGTAAGCGTGAAATGTTACGCCTTACAGCGTATCTGACGATGTCGGAGTACATTTAACTTAAAAAATATGGTAGATCCCATCATACTTTTCAAGGAAAAATAATTTCAGTGAAATGCGAATAAAAAATACTTAAAAATGATATATAATACACATAGTTAGCTTTTTAAATAAGGCAGATATTAACGCTTAAAGTCCCCGTCTAAAGTTTGAAAATATTTTTTTATCATTCATTTACTATTTGTCAGGACTTAAAAAGTGATTTTAGAGATTTTTGAACAAAAAAAAATTTGGAAAAAAAAGTTATGAGCATTTCATTTCTCAAATATTCAAATTTCCCGCCATTTTTCATAAAAGTTGAAATTTCTTAATCATCAAATATTTCTTAATCCATTTCAAAAAAGATTATCTTTTTAACACCAATGCAAAGGTTGAACAAAGGACACACTATTTCAATAATAAAATGCCATATCTAATGGGCCACTTCAATGTTTTAACATATCAAAAATATTTTGAAACATTAGTGATGTCACTAAGGTACCAAAAACTTTTTGAAAAAAATTGAAATTTTTTTTTCGATGTCAATCTTTTCTAAATATGTTAGACTTTCATAAAAACCAATGTTGATTGTCTTACCAGGTTAAAAGAAAAAATAAATTATGTTTTAGATATATTGTACCATTGGTTTCTATGAGAACTAAAATTTTGAAATGCATTTTTCTCAGAACCATTTTCATGCACTGATAAGTTCATTTCTCGCTTATTTATGAACCGATTTTCTTAATTTTTTCGGCAAAAAACATGGGAGGATGAATGCTATGCATTGGTATGAATTGTGGCTAATTAGAAGATATGAGTGACCTCTAAAAGTTGGTTTTAAATAAATTCACAAATTTTGGAACAAAAAGTCTATCAAAAACCACATTTTGAAATTTAAAAAAAAAGTTTCACATATCACACTTTGATAACATTGGGTAAGACTACAATATAAGCCAAAGTGGTTTAAAACCTTTACCATGCTGCCTTATTTCAGCAAATATATCCCACGCAACTGGCTTATTCTTCAAAGAGTGCAAAAAATGATATGCCTGGACTAAATAATTAATATCTCAATAACTACTGAATGAATCTGGATAAAATTTTCACAAAGGGAAGATACAGTGGCCTGGCTCATGAAAAAAATGTTCTCATGTATTTTTTCGTACATTAACACGACTGGGCATTAATATACCATGAATACTCCTCCGGAATCCGCCGCTCCGCCTCTTTGTCTGGTCAGAATCCAAATCTGAATTTGCAGCGATCGAATGTTCAATTTTTCAATTCAGAAAATATTCTAGTTTCTATTTTCGATGACCGTTATCGGCTTCCAAGAGCCTAAAGAGCTCGAAATCGTAATCCATTTCCTCCACATTTTCGTTGTGATCGTATTTGTCCACCATTTTGTACGATTCGTTCACTAAAAACGACTAAAACACTGTTTAAATTGTTGAATTGAGAATTATTTTTCGAAATATCGCCATTTCTAGGTCAACAGGAAGTCATGTTAGGCACTGAATAAATCGGGCAATCTAATTGGACAATACGAATGGCGCGAAAAAGTAAAGTTTTTAAAAGTTTGAAATCGGGCGTACGGGTCCGCCGGCAGTTGTGAGAGACATTTTTAACCTTTAGCGTGCTGCCGGCGGATGGGGCCTTTAAAGCTGAGATTAGCCCGTATTTCCCGAATTGTCCCCAGGTCCGTGCACGTCATAAATGCATTTTTATTATTAAGCAAAAAATGGTTGTCCCGTAAACGTATTGCAAGATACTTCTTGATCAAGGCAATACAAGTTAACATGTTTTAGTGATAAAACTTCTTGATCGAGGCTATACAAGTTAACATGTTTTAGTGATAAAACTCTTTGATAATAAGGCTATACAAGTGAACATGTTTTCGTGATAAAACTTCTTGATCAAGGACATACAAGTAAACATGTTTTTGTGATAAAACTTCTTGATCAAGGCTATACAAGTGAACATGTTTTCGTGATAAAACTTCTTGATCAAGGCTATACAAGTAAACATGTTTTTGTGATAAAACTTCTTGATCAAGGCTATACAAGTGAACATGTTTTAGCGATAAAACTTCTTGATGAAGGCTATAAAAGTAAACATGTTTTAGTGATAAAACTTCTTGACAACTTCTTAACATGTGCTTTATATGCAATTTTGAGGTATTTTATGCGCTTTTCAGTGATGCTATTTTCTGAACAGGTGTGTAATGTGATCTAACATATTTTCAAAATTTAATACACCGGAACGTTATGTTTGGAATAATGATTTAAATCTTTCTAAAACGTCACAATTTGTTCGATCGATGATGTGAATTTCTAAGATCACAATTGCGCAACGGCAACAATTCGGTTTCTCTCTCATCTGTCTGTCTTATCAAATAACTTTGCTATGAAATATATGCAATATGAAAGTTTTATAAAAGGTCTGCACTGAGAATAGTCCATTTAATTTTACATTTCATAGTTACAAATGTCAAATATAGTAGTTGTTTTTGTTTTTAGCTGTACAAATACAACCTCACAGGAGAGAAGTATATACTAATGCATAAGTCAAACCCTACGCTTAATTACTTTACCGAAGATCAAATGGCTAATGCCAACTGTACAAGGGAACAGATTGATGAAGCGAGGGAGGGAGCCCTCCAACTTACACTGTTACCTGAAAACTACTTTGAGGGTGGCAACGTTAACCTGACCGAACCTAAACATTATAGAAGTGGCAAAGTAATTATTCCCAGAGGCATTAGTTTGTTTATTTGTAAAATATATGTTTTCTTTTTTAATCTTTCAAAACCTGAACAGTATATAATTGGGAAAGTACTATAAGCCAAGACATCATTTACAATTTGGTTATTTGAAAATATAATATCGGCTTTAGAAAATACAATGTCGCTTTGTTTGGATGGCAAAACAGCAGGAACTATTTTAGAAATAGAAAACGTGCATTGATCTTCAATTAGTATCTCAATTCCTTCAAAAGAAAGATCTCTGTTATAACTTTTGTAAATTGTGTCAATATTTGTTTGTAAAATATTATTCTGGACATCGTCTCGCTTATCGAATTGCCACACATTCTATTACAATAAGGGAGAATTTGTGTGATATCCAATTAATATCGTTCCATTGCAGTCATACGTCGATATATTATCTGATATTGGAGAAGAGGTACCACCCAAAAAGCCATTTGTTTTCGCAGGTATGTATTAGTATGTGTATCTTCATCCTGATGCAGAATATAAAACTATGCTCGCTCAATTGTACTTTCGGGCTTTTTATCCAGGATTATAATAGTAGAAGGGGCTTAGGCACTGAGGGTTAAAGGAATAATAAGCTCACAATTAGCTCACTGGCTTTGTTTACTCAACATTTGAAACATACATGAAAAGATTCTGGCCTTATGTTTGAGAATATGTTTAGCAAAAATGACTTGCAACTTCATAGTCTAATAATTTCTAATAATATGTGTAGAAACGAAGGTATGTATGAAATTGTATTAATTAATATTGCCAAAAGGGTATCAAAAACGCAAACAAGTAAAACGAAAATGCACTGGTATTTAATTCTGTCAAAATCAAGTAAAAAGGTTTTTAATTAACAAGGTGGAGCTTATGACGCCGTGTGGGCGTTTGCCTTGGCACTGAAAGCGACGTTTCAAGAAGAGGGAGTAGTTCCCGGAGAAGCAAATGCTTTTCTCAGAACCATGGACGGGATAGAGAAACTGTATGCTAATCTAATGAAGGTTGACTTTGATGGAGTCACGGTAGTGTTACAACTTTGTTTACCAGTACAATTATTTAAACAGTTTGAATACATTCACTTGACGTTGACTGTAACCACACAAAAATAAGGACACTTATTTCAGAAGTGCCCATTTTATGCTTCCATACTACATGCAACATCGCGTGTAAGACTGTATTATACTAAAATAAGAACACTTAAATCCGAAGTGCCTTTTTGATACTTTCATTTATGCTCCCATTTGATAGACAATTTAATTCCCAAAATAACACATCATTTAATTAGAACAATTTGGGTTTGATATTTTTTATTTCATTTGTAACATAGAGTGGCTTTTTCTTGTGAACCAGAATCCAAACAACGCAAAACATATTCTCACATGAGTGCATTTGGACAGATACGACTGCGATTAAAAAGTATTATTCGAAATGAAAACTCGTTAGATCCATTGATTATGCTGTGAAAGTGTCTGGTTTAAAGCACTGTTACACAATAAATGATGTCTTTAAAACACTTATCCATTTTTATTCGGAATTAAATGTCTATCCATTGGTAGCATGTGGTTTAAATGTATGGATTATCAAACATTATAAAACTATGCTGTGTATCTGATCAAATGATGATTAATGCTAAAAAGATTCTTACTTTCTATTTATCCTTCACGAACAACATACAGGGACCCTATACTTACAATGCAAATGGATTGCGTAACTATTACGTCAACGTTGGAACAATGAGAGGTTAGTTCGAAGGCAGAACGTCGAAGAATTTTGAGACATCAATCTTATCAAATTACTTGGTCTTGAAGTCCCATCCATTATTATGAGAATTATTGCTTTGGTTGTTTTCAGGTGATGGTGTCACTATTAGGGGCGTTGGAAAATACGATGCAAAAACTGATGTCCTTTCCCCATTCAATGAGTCTCTGATTTGGCAGTTTAAAGGTTGGAACTTCTATAAGCTCACGTTGTTGTATTGCTCTATTATAATGAAACTTTAGACTAACACTAAAATACAAAAGTGCTACATACTATCCTTGGAATCCAATATAACAATAATGATTTCGTCAGAGCGAAATATGTCTGTAATGCCTTCGAGCGATTGACATTATTTAAATTTTGTTAATTGTTATTTATTAATTTATGGAATACATACTAGGACAAAAAATATCAATAAATGTGATCACCCCTGACGCAAGTTCTATCAACGATCAAGAAGCATTTGTCAGAAAAGCATATGTTTTGAATTCGTATATTGTTATTATTTGAGTTCATAGATAGAATACTCTTGTAATAGTTTAGTAGTAAGGAAAGTTAGAAGTTTATATCTTTCGGATAAATGTAACCATTCCTTCCTGTCAAACTATAATAGCCGTTTAGAATCATGTGAATACGTTTTGGGATAAGGCAGAAACAACCAGTATATTATGATAATACATGCATTTTTAGATTTTCCCTTTCACTCACTCATTCAGCATAAGAAACATATCTGATACTTTGTTGTGAATTTCTAAACATGATCTGACCAGTAATGACGTTCAGGTGATATTCTTAAAAATTCAATACCAAGAAGGGTCCGATTTCTGAAAAGTAATATCTTGATCTGTGGCAACATTATATATGTTCTGCTACCTTGCGTTTATTTCAATTAGTTTATTTCAATTACAGGAGGGAAGCCGATCTCGGATGGACGGAATTACACGTCGCACGAAACTGGGGACAATTAGCGTAACATTATGGCGTCAAAAAACGAAGACAAAACAATGAGCAGCATAGGGCGCAAACAGCCTTAAAACGTCAAAAATGACAAGCGTCACATTTTTGTCAAGTTTAGTCAACCTAAAAATAAAAAACTTTATCCTTATCTAATCATGACAAAATTCACAGGGTAGCAAGATCTCGAGGACAATATTTCTAAAATGTTTTTGAATTTTGAAAAACGGTCAAGAAATCCACTTGGGGCGTTGGTAAAAATTGATATGTATGGAATTTGTGGTAAAAAATCGATGCGTCACATTTTTTTCAAGTCTCGAAAACCAGCTCTTATTTTAATATTATTTGCAAAATAAACAAACTGGTTATTGTTTTGTAAATTTCGCCATGACAATATTGTGCAGTTAATTTTTCTTTCAAATCAGACTTGAATTAGAAGGTTAAATGAAGGTAAACTTATTGCTCGTCCCATTTGCCTTCAAAACCTTACACAATTTTGAAAATTTTAAAAGCGTTCATATATGATAATTTGAACTGTAGCCGTTAAGCAATTGTGACGTCATAAATGTACTTATTCCATTGAATAAATTGTGAAATTTTAGTGGGTTTTTGATAATTATTTCAAAAGTTATCCTAATTTCAACGAGCCCTGTAAGTGTAAAGTGTTACGTCTTACAGCGTATTTCACGATGTCGGGATATATTTAACTCTAAAAATATGTTGGATCCCATCAAAATTTTGAAGAAAAAATAAGTTCACTGAAATGGGAATAAAAAATACTTCAAAATGATATATAAAACACATAGCTTGCTTTTTAAATAAGGCAGAGATTAACGCTCAAAGCTGAAATCAGCCCGTATTTCCCGAATTGTCCCCAGGTTCGTGCACGTCATAAATACAAATGGTTAATATTGTGACTCTGGCTCAAGAACTACTGACTTAATAAAGTTAAAGTGAATGATAAGAGTGACAATAAGAGTGACATCACTGTGAATGTGATAGGGTGCTGGTAACTGCCTATAAAGATATATTTAACTTTTCCAGAATAAATGGACGTAAAATAGATCTTGTTTGACAAGCAATATTTATTGAAGCAACCAATATTAAACTATTGTACATACAATACATATATATGAACACATTGGGCCAGAGGCCTTATAGATATTGAATAAATAAGAATTCATTTTCAATGCAAACTTGCTTATATTGAGATAAACCATCCATAAAGTGGGCAAGATTGCTTGCGCTTCAGAACAAATTAGTCGTAGCACAACAACAAACGTATATCCCCTTGGGTTAAGTGATTACCGTCTTCCTGTGGTAGAGAGGTGAATTACTTCTGCAGAATTACTGTGAAGAGAAAAAATCGTGCACACTCTAACTATTCACCAACCATCAATAGAAACACGTCTTCCTGCTCCAAATCATTGGTTAGTATCAAGAAAAGAAAACGGCAGTTACCTTCACATTAAAGTTGGCGGACTGCAAGTGTCTTCGATGATATTTGTAGTTTTCATCGAATTAAATCACTTAAAAGTACACATATTTCGGCCACATCAGGCTTATGAAAATAGTAGCTTGGAGTATAATATTTGCTCCTATGTCCCGCGTGTAGTCACAATACAACAATATCTTCCACCGCTTAAGGGAAGGTAAGCTATCGTGGAACTGTTTGACCCACAAAATTATCAAACTCCAGAGTTTCCATGCCATAAGACCTGGTGTGATTTAAATAACAATGCCTTATATGTCAACTATTAAGTGGTTTAATTCGATGAAAACTAAAAAATATCGAAATCGACACTTCCGGTCCGCCATTTTGAATGTAAAGGTAACTGTCCTTACCATGACCACTTATTTACATTTTTTTATTGATATCATGTAATAATCAGCCCCTTCTTAACCTGAATGTCTGCACCTTTTTATAACACTGTCACAAAGATGGGGGTGATTTGCCGCCCCCACCCCCTTGGTGATTCTTGTAACTTGTCTGATTTCAATAATGTTGGAGTGTTGCAACCCTTATTCGGTTACCCCTTCGGGAAAGTTTTGTTTTTTGAAGTAGGTCAAAATAAGTAAAATGGAAGTCAATGTGACCTAGGGAATGTCAATTGTGGATATTTCTTTATATCCATACGAATACATTCGATTAAACTTTACAGGCTCAGACATTTGTCCAGTAACGAATATTACAACATATTTATCCAACTAATTATTAAGAAAGATATTCGAGATGTTAAAGCTTATATTTATTGATATTTATGCCAAAATAAAATTTAATGGAACGAAACGCATTATTTTATCTTTTCATATTTTTTTTCCTGTAATATATACGTTATTTATCGTAGTTTAAACAGTACATTGGAGAGTTTAAGCTTGCAATGTTTTTCACAACGTAACCATGAACGCATGAATTAATACAGTGATGTGTATAGCGCGCTTACAAAACAAGTGCTAATTAGTCTACTTTAGATAACCGGCTAATTAGTCTACTTCAGATAACCGTTCAGCTACTGAGTTTCTTGTTAAGAACGCAAAGTTATGAATTTCACGATGACGTCAACGGAAATCATTATACTCACATCTATTCTATACTATGCTGGTAATTTTAATTTCAATACTAAGTAGAATTCTTTCTGAAGAAAAAGATGTTTGTCATGATCTGTTTTAGCTCCGACTATCTTATCATACGAGCTTAATTAAAACATGTATCAGAAAACCAGCTATAAAACTATCAATGGCGTATAACATGCTGCATATAATTACATTATGCGGTGTATTCTAAACAAACACTAAAGCTCGAACAGCTATTTCAACTTCATCATGTATTTGCATTTGGGCGATTATACGTCTACGTTGCCGTTTCGATTTAATGGAGAATTTAAGCAATGCATATAAAATCGAAACGTATGCTAGCTTAAACTATCCACTATTGATTCAAATGCGCAGGATTGCTCGAACTCTATAATTATTTGGTCGTAACAAAAGTCCAGTCGTATATCCCCTAGGGTCACATGATGGGCATTTATCGCCCTCATGCGGAAGAAAGGTAAACTTCTGCAACATCGCAGTAAAGAAGAGAAATAATCGTGCCCTCGCCAACTGTTCACCGACACAAACACGTCTTCCTGCTCCAAATGGCATCAGCCTATAATTAAATATTATTAAAGTTGACAAAGTTATGGCATGGTTGCTTATTAGAAGTGGTACGACTTAAAAATCAAAACTACAATTCTAAACTTGCGTAATATCTTACATCTTTCTTTGATCGACTGGAATAACATCACCGTTCTGGTCAAGGAAACGTTCTGGTTTAAATGTCCATGGATCAGCAAAGTAGCGCTCATCGTGGTGAAGTCCAAACATATTCACCCAAACCTAAATAGGGAGTGTGATAACCTTAAGTTGTGCGTGATGGAGCTCAAAATCGTTTGTGCTAGGATGAGGAATTCATCCTGGGTTTGTGCCAAATACTATAGTATTCTTTTTTAGTTTAAGAAAAGTGTTTCATATAGACCTATCACACATTCGTTGCATTAAGTGAGGCTACAATTCAAAACCCCTCACATGCCACAATGTTTCTTGTTAAAGGTCATCTTTTGGATATGTGAGGCTTTTTAATTATATCTTGTTGTCCTATCAGATGTTTCATTTTCTTACTGTTTTTACCACATTTCAGTATTTTCGCTTCGGCACTTGTGCATATAAATGTTACTATTACAATTTCGTACCACTGTTTTATGCCTCCATTAGGAAAAAATTGATAACGAAGCAATTGAGTAGAAAATTAAATGAAGGTTGGACCCCAACGAAGCTTTTTGTAGCAGTGTTGCAGGTAGCATTGATAGCTTGTTCACCCTTGAGTTGTACCTGTGTATCCTTTGGAATGAAATAATTCCCTAGTTTAGAATCCTTTGTAGATTTGCGTAAAGTAAAAGGGCCAACCGATGTGTAGCGCAGGGTCTCTAGTATGAATGCATCGACGTACGGGAGGTTGCTTCTATCATCCAATGTGGGAAACCTAAAATTTGAATAATTAATTTGCAGTTGTAAAAATATGTGCGCTAAACGTATAACGTAGATCCAACTGTTAAAAAATCACTGTACATGCACAAAATGCCTATTATGGAAAACACATCCACAACTCAAGCACATGGCGAACAATCTCTTAGCAATAAAGTTCCGCAACGCGGCAACCTCTGTACCATTGAGCGCAGGTCCATGACCGCACCTTTCAAATTAACTGATTCATATGCTTTTCTTTTAGCGTATTTAGTCACAAGAACTAATACGTGGACAGTTGTCATCGTTTAAAAGAACGATTTGGTCTAGATTTTAGATATATTTATACCCTCTGTATCAAAAGTATTTTCCTACTAAGGTAAACCTCAAATAACTTTTGTAAATGGCAAGTAAACTTAATGAAACTTTTCATGCATACTTTAGGGCATATAATACACACTATCCGGAGAGTTTAAGACAATTGATTAATTTTTACACAAAGTATTACATACAGAACATAGCATATACCAAAAACACCGTTGTGACTTTTTCCAAGTTTGTGACGTCAAACTTACTCAAGATCGCCAAACTGACCAGACGGTCAAGACAAGTAACTTAGTCAACATTCGATATTCGTATGTTCATGAATATTTACTAAGAATGGTGCCACAACTGAAGTAAACCTCTGGTTAATTATTTTCAATAAACCTATGAGCAAACGTGTAAATGATAATTTTGATGTTCTGTTACATATTGGTGAAGCAATCTTTGGGATATGACCTAAATTTCTGATTTTCCACTGTGTCCCTGTATACCCCTACTTCAAAAGATATATGTTATTCGTCATTTTTCATTATGAACCAACCATAAATGTATTTTTTCTTGTTTACATACAGAATGAACTTTCGGTTTTCAAATATTGCAAGACGGTACTGCATTTATTTGTTCAGGATATCGAGCAAACAAATGCGTGTCAATTTACACTGTAATATCCTACATACTTATATTTCAA